TGCATTTGTTATTTGAATTCTAACCTTCGAATAATGAAAACTTAATAATGGGTCAAATAGAAAAACGTGTTGCTTTGATATCAAATCCGATGCAATATCATTAAAGTAAAACTTTTTGTGATATAAAAGAAGCTACAAGGAGAAAGAGATCTTTTGTATTGCGGAATTAAAGTTATAGACTGAAAACAGTGTGGGGTAACACACAAACTGAAAGATGAAAAAAAAGAAACAAAGAAAGAAAGGAAAGTGAGAGAAAGAAAAAAAGGAAAAATGAAAAAGAAGAAAAAGTAATTAAGAAAAATAAATGAAAGAAATAGAAAAAGGAAGATAAAAATAAAGAAACAATAAAGAAAGCAGTGAAGAAGAGAATGAAAAGAAAACGTTTTATAAATATAAATAAAAGAATAAGGGAGGCGGTGAGAAAAAAAGGAAAGAAAAGACATCACGAAAGAGAATTTATAGAAGAAAGAGGAACTCTGTCAGTAAAATAAGAAGGAAAGATGATGAAATAAGAAAGAAGAGAGAAGATCTCCCTCTCCGCCCCCACCCCCCAAAAAATCATCTAAAAACAAAGAGAAATTGAACGGGTAAAAGAAAGAAAAAAAGCAAATGACGAAATTAGAAAAAAAGAGAGAAAGAGCATTTAGAAACAGAAAGAGAAATTGAACAGGTAAAGCAAAGATAGATAGATAGATAGATAGATAGATAGATAGATAGATAGATAGATAATGCCACCAAGAAAGAGAAATTATAGAAGGGAACTATGTCAGTAAAGAAAGAAAGAAAGATAGAAAGATGAAATAAATATAACAAAATTAGTAAGAACAGAGAAAATATATCAAACAGAAAGAGAAACTGAACAGGTAAATGAAAGAAAGAAAGAAAGAATGAATAAATGAATAAATGAATGAATATTCTTTTCATTTTCCTCGACTCCCGTTATTCCTACCATCCCTTTCATATAAACTTTATAACGATCAATAACTCAGAAGAAAGGTTGAAGTATGCATTAGTAACGATAGAAATTTGTAGTAGTAGTAGTAGTAGTAACATCATCTCGAGAAATATCATCAAATCAGTGTTCTCATATATTAAAAAAAAGTGTCATGATAAAACAGAATGAAAACAGAAAGACCTTAATTGAATTCCCCTGACACACTAAATGAATTAGCGAGAGATAATTTCTGAGGTGGCAAGATTTTAATCATTGTTTACTTTTGATCATGTACTGTGACAGGATTTCTCCCCATCATTTTTTCAATTCACAATTAAGGGGGTAGTCTCCTCACGGCATTCGTCAGGCGGTATTATTTTTCAATAAAATTTCCCCCGGGGATTATTCAGAAGCTAGCAAGGTTAACAGGAATAGTTCCAATTATTGTTGTTATAGCCACTACATTTATATATCTACACTATATCTATAACGGCTATATCTCAGATATTGGACACTATTCACTGATAAATATAGAAAATTTTAAATAATATATCTCCGGCCTTATAGTTGACGTCATCTGACTGGAGAGCGAAACAGACCCGCACGAAATCAAAGAATGGTGGAGAGGCAATAAAAAGCATTATCAGATGCTAAGACCAAACGATTGGGGATTCTAGTATTAAAGTCATTAACGTCTGCTAGATTTGGAAATTGCCACAAGCCCCCCCAAACTTCTTCATATCAAACACTGACGAGGGCTGCAGGAGAAGCCAAAAATTTTGTAATTTCCCACAAAATTTTATTCTACTCCCAAATATCAACTAAGAAAAAAAATCAAATTCATACAAAGAATATATTTGTCATCACTTCGTCAGTAGTGGTTGGAGACTGTATACCTGAAATTTATTTCGTAATTAAGAAAAGCTCTGCCATTTTATATGGCGTTGACCACTTTTTCTTTCCAGGTGCGTTTCCGTCATACTCATTTTAAGAGCCTTTTAATTCTATGATTATATATTATATATATATATATATATATATATATATATATATATATATATATATATGTTGGAAGTTGACTCTGACCAAATAAGACCTTCTCTAAGACTTATAATCCACTCTCTCTATTGTTAGTTACATGATTATATTTTTCTACGGCTTTACCTTTACGATAGGCATTCTAAACTCCTGATAGGCCATCCTTGGCGGCGAGGTCAAAAGCCGACGATGACGATACATTTAACTTTTAATTACATCCATTTTAAGAAACTGTCGTAGTATCTCTCTTTTACTGACTGTCTCTCTAATTATTTCATATCAATGATTAAACTCTTTTCTCTCTCTCTCTCTCTCTCTCTCTCTCTCTCTCTCTCTCTCGCACACTTTCTTTTTCTCGCTTACTCTGAGCTTGTTCTCGCTTGGCCAATTCAGTTTCCTCCTTGTCTTTCCTTTCTATTTCACTTAATGACAATTTCACCCCACACCAATTAATTTAATTAAGATAAGAGCTAATGGTATATATATATATATATATATATATATATATGCGAAAATATGTTTTTTTTAAATTGTTTTTATAGAAACGGTTATAATGTCATCTCTGTGAAAGAGAAAATCATTGAATTTAAAAAAAAAAAAAATTTGTTTTCTGTGCAATTAACTCGACTTTTAAAAACAATTTCTTTATGAATTATTTTATATAAACTTTACGTTGAAACTTTAGTGCAAAATCTCCAATGATGAAAATTTCCCGGCTCAAATTTCTACCCAAAGATGCATTTCATGTCGACAGGACAGATAAATTCACTTTTTAACTTGCAGAGAAAGTTCACGGTAATAAATTCTCGAAAATGACATTTAATTTATCGTTAAATACCGCAAGAAATTACTTTTTAGTTTTAACGTCTCCACAATTAAATTTTCTATTTTAATCATCTTATTTTGTTTTCAATCAGTATGATTGTTACTAATCTTAATCAGAGTAACACATTTCGCTTTCTTGGCCTGACATTTTTCACTGACATGAATTAGAACAATTCTATTGAATCACTTCCTATGTCTGCTGCTAGGAAAGTTGTTTAACTGTGTCGTGCAAGACAATTTTTGTCATCAGAATATATCATACAGCTTTATAAGTCTATCATTAGTCCATGCATGTAATATTGTTGTTCTCATCTGTTCTGGTTGTTATATATATATATATATATATATATATATATATATATATATATACTATTCCGCCTTTTATTTTATGCAGACATGTATTTATTTTCTCCTTTCATCTGGTTTTACTCTAACTTTCTTACTTCCTACCTTTCCATCTTCACATTCACTTTTTGTCTCTCCTCCTTTACCTCGCTTTTTGCCCAATTGCTTCCCATGAGAAAAGCTTAACTGATTCCTGCTCAGGTTCACGCACAAATACTACACTTCGAGCTTCAGTAGAAAACAAGTAATGGTAACATACAAATAAGCGGAATAATAAAGTAGATAATAAAAAAAGATTCAACCCCAGAATTTTCTTTTACTAAAAACAATATGGCAAAAAGAATCAAAGGAGAAGAGAAGGTATTTCAATTATATACTTCTGTCTGAATAGTACGTCTGATAGATTTGATAGTCGAATTATCTGCTGATATAGAAAAGGATCTCCAATCTGAGACAAGAAATGGCTTTTGTTAATTTTAATGTCTCTGATATTAAATTGTTCTCTTTTAAGTGTCTTAGAAAACCTTTTATCTTACATTAACATGATTGATGCTAACCTCAGGTGAGTCACTTATTTCACCTTCTTGGTCTAATGGTTTCCTCTGATATGAATTGGAAAAATTAGATTGAATCAATTGCTAAGTCTTCTACAAGGAAATTTGCTTCACTGTGTCATGTTAGACAGTTTTACTAGCCAGAATCTATCTTGCACCTTTATAAATGTCATTCATCCATACTTGTTGCTACAGCTGGTTTGGTGCTTCTGCTATGTATCTAGAAATTCTTGACAAAATCCAAAGAAGAATCTGCAGTGTTATCGTCCTGACTTGGCATCTCAGCATCAATTACTTTCTCGCTACCCTAACGTAGCTTCACAATATTTTTACTATAAATATTTTCATAGCAATTGTTCCGATGAGCTTTCCTCTTTAGAACCTCGTATTCACGAATTTAAGCGCAGTACTAGTTTGTCAGTTAGGTCTCATTACTGTTGAAATTGCTAGATGTAACCGTAAAGTAATAATCTCTGTGTAATTCTATTTCATCTTCTTATTTTCCTGTCAACGAAATTTCAAATGCAACGTCAATCGTCTTCTGTTTCCTTAAATCCTGTTCTTTTATTGTCCTAACTCTTTAGTAAGGTTTTCTCAGTTTCTGTCACTCTCATTAAGCCCTTAGTGGCTTTATCGCCTTGCTTTGGTTGAAATGATTTTTAAAAATCCAATCAAAACTCAATGAATGTAATGAAGTTTAAATTTTTAGCCTACATATTTATAAACATGTTCCATTTTACCATTACAGGATTATCTAGTCCATTGCATTCATTGCAAAAAGATTAGTAATTTAACCTTAAGAAATATGTATATAATTCCACAACTTTTCTCTTTCCCTCTCTCGATTGACATTATTTTTTCAGTTTACGTTTTATTATTTATGCAGAAGCCAAAGCATATCTGTTATCTAATGAATATAAATATTCTCCAAACGTCTGATGGAGCGCTTTTGGCAATATTTCTTACCATTTTCAAGATCAGGAGAAAAAAGTGTATGTTTGTCATATTTGTGAAACTTTTAACCACTTCAAATCAAGAATCACTAGTAATCTATCCTACATATACATACAATTTATCATTCATATCACATTTCTCATTTAGTAACCCTCTAAATCGAGTGGCTCTTAAGCCTTGTAATGGGTGACCATTAATAAAATAGACTGCTCTTATAGATCAAATGCTTGTAAGCAATCAGCGTATTTTATACAAGATTAAATATCAAGAAAATATGTTATTTTCTTAATGACAAAGAAATAAATATAAACTCAAAATTAAAAAAGGTCTTCAGTTTGAGACCGGGGATTTTAAACGTATTTGTAAATAAACAGACAGACAGACAGATAGATAGATAGATAGATAGATAGATAGATAGATAGATATGGACAGACCGAGATAGACAGATAGACAGAAAGATATATAGATAGATTTACCCTATTTAAGGAATTCGCTGAGGACCTCCTGAAAATTTTGATCAAAATCTCACCAATAATACGACTTGTTTTCCCTTAAACTTTATAATAACCCTATCCTAGGAGCTCCTGAAAATACTGACCAAAGTTTAACCAACAATACCAATTGCTTTCCCTTAAACTTCATAATAACCCTGAAAATTCTGACCAAAGTCTTATCAAATGTCTATCAGAGTAAGTCTGCTTGCTCTGATGTCTTAGTTTCATAGTTTTTAACCTTATATTTCAATTTTCATTTGATTTATCATGTCGCAAGTTTAGATGTCCGTGTGACTTAAACGTTATTTTCAGTGGATATTCGTATTGTGTAGACGCTTTGTTTATTTATTAAACAGTGTATTTATTTATTTTTGTCTACCGGCCTAAATGTTGGATTGTTGTAGTGTAGTATATCTGATATAATTATTTATGAATTTAGGATTGATCATGAACTTAAAGATCAAACCAAATTCATAAGTAATTAATAATTAATAGATACAATTTATTTAAGTAAATGCTCTGTTTTTTTAAATAAACACAATTAATTACATTTATCGGCCTGAATATTCGAGGAATTTCGTGGAAAATATGCGCTTCATTTTGTATCTATTAAAAATATCTATAAACGGAAAATATATTAAATAATTGTCGGCCTAAATCCATTTCATATGTTGTGAATGTTTACGTTAAGGTACGTTTCGTGAGACGATCTGATCGTTCGGGAAAGATCGTCGAACATTTGTTGTTTACAAACAGTAATTCGGACTTTGCTAATCAGTGTTTAATTGGTTAAGAGCATATCGGATGAAATCAGGTTTCCCATTAGGGTTACAGATTTGTTTTCTGTCGGAGAAGCACACATTTATCTAAGACATTTTTCGAACATTCAGGCCAGTTAATGTAATTAATATTTTGTTTATTCAATTCTATCTATTAAAATAACGCATAAACAGAACACACACACACACACACACACACACACACACACACACACACACATATATATATATATGTATGTATGTGTGTGTGTGTGTAAAAAAGTTTTAGGATATGTTATATTTATGGGTTCACGTGCTGAGGGATAGATCGTATGTAAATATAAAAGTGGATATTAATGTCAACACCCAGAGGCGATTGTCTGTTTCACGCTAAACGCAATCGTCAGGCCATGACGTTTGTGTTTAGCATGAAACAGACCGACTTCAATGTTTACTTATATATATATATATATATATATATATATATATATATATATATATACAGAGAGAGAGTGAGAGAGAGAAAGAGAGGCAGAGAAGCAGTGAGAAACAACTATTTACACTCTTTCCAGTGTGGACACACTTTCATGAGTACATCTTACATTATATCAACCTCTAAATTTGAAGAAAAGTCGTCATGAAGAGATATTTGCTTTATCTCATGATTTACGTTACGTTGATTCGGTGCTCCTTGGACAAGGCGGGAAATTGCTTCACACTTGTCATTGAATTTGTGAAATCTCGGATGAAATATCCGATCGGCTGGAAAGAAGTGCACAACGCTTGTATTGATTAATGTCGGTGATAACTTGTCGCAAATTAAGCCGACGATGTCGCAGCAGCTTGCGTGATGGCTGAGAGGGAAAGTTCGGAAGGTAAGCAACTCAGACTTGAAAATTACACGACTCCCTTTCTATTACTGAGTCGAAATAATCACTCTTCAAAAGTGATGCGATGCGCATGCGTGAATTGCCGTGGGCATGGCTGTCTGGACCAATCTAACAAAATAATTCCACGCCATAAAAGATAGTTGAAACTTTGACTTCCTTATGTAAATAATTAATGTAATTATAAAAGGTTCGTTCTGGATAATTGACCTGTATTTTCTTATACCGTTAATAAATAAAAATTATTTTGTCAGCAAAAATTATCGAACCTGAAGCGACACTATCTACGAGTTTGATACCGTATACCATGCTCTGTAGAAGAGTTTTGGAGTTTACTTAGGTCTTTATTGTTTAGGCAAGTCTATTCAAGGACCCTATTATACACCCTGTTCAAATTCACCCTGTTTCAAGTTTATTCGAAAACCCAATTAGAGAACCTATACCATAAACTCTGTTCAAAGACCGTATTATAGACCCCGTTTAGAACAAAAAATAATTATGATATTTAAGTATCTGTCTATATTTCTGAGATTAGGTAGTGTAACTATTTACATTATTCTGAATTTTGTCCTCATCTTTATTGTCATATTCACGACGTTTCGGCCGTTGTACATTCCGGCCTTCTTCAGGAATTTCGAACCGAACCCTTTATTTAACTTACTGAGGTAAATTGTTCCCGTTCCCCGCCTATTCTGGACACATCAGTTTCTGTTATTTAGTAACCCTTTAGTAGCTCTCCAAGTTTTTGATTCACCTCTCAAGTTTTTATTTACCTTTGCTGTGGCAAGGGATTGGACTCACAACTCTTTGGGTCAAGTCACTTTTGGATTACCAAAACGCTTTTAGACACTTGGCCACGGAGCGTACAACGGCCGAAACGTCGTGAATATGACAATAAAGATGAGGACAACAATCCGAACAATGATATTTAAGTCATTTTGCAAGTGCATTGGTTATATTTTCTGCATTTCATCTCGACAGATAACTTTATTGCAGTATGCGAGACGATGTTTTCTTTTTAAATCATTAAATAAATGAAGAACGTTAAAACGAAATAAAAAGTGCGAAGTAAGTTTTAAACTTCCCAGAAATCAACAGGACGGAAAACTGTGGGTACCAACAGATAATGTATTGGATAGTTATAATCCTTAGCATAAAATCACACCCCAATTCAAAGCTAGTAACGTTCAGCCGGGAGTTAAATGTACAACTTTTTTTTTTTTCATAATCGCAGTTTCTTTGTCGTTGACCGACAGGGGTGCCATTATTGACACCACGACACTGATTATTGACTTTCATATGGGCCCAAAATTGTCGCCATTGGACTGTGGAAGACTGGCGCTTTTTACCCCCCCAGACGAATCACGTTTGGTGCTTTTCAACCAGATTGTTAAGTCCGTATGCGAAAAAAGGACAGAATTGATTTGTTAAAATGGTTTTTCAGATTGTGTTGAAATGGCGTGGAACGTGGAATGTTGGAATATTATTCAAAATAAAATCTGTCTTGTTTATTTTGCCTCTATAGCGAGGCTATCTTAAAGGAAGCTGGACAGCCTATCAGGATTTATTATTATGGGTGGACGCAATCTTAAGGTACGCAGGTGACACTGTGTATTGCCAGAAACAGAAGGAAAGATACAAGGTCTACAAGGTAGTAAAGGAAATCGAAAAGAAAGGACTAACAACAAATTGTAAGAAGACAGAATATATTGTTTTCATCAAGAAGAACAGCCCAACATGCGAACTGAAAATGGAACATGTAAATGATCTAACAAGTACAGAAGTTAAATATCTGAGACGTGTTTTAACAGTGAATGGAAAATGTGACGGCGGAATCCCAACGCACATTGGAATAACAGATGCATTCCAAAAGCTAAACAAAGTGTTAAGAAACAGAAAAAAATAGTTATAAACAAAGAAAGGAATGATGAACTCTTATGTTATATCGGTCTTCCTATATGGCAGTGAATACCGAACAGTCTTCTCACGGATAAAGAGAAAACTGGAGGCAACAGAAATGCGGTTCTACAGAAGGATGTTGAGAATTTCATGGGCGTAGCGTGTAAGCAACGAGGATGTCTTAAAGAAAATGTCGGATAGGAGAGATGGCAAAGGTTGCTAAGAGCTACGATGTATAGGAGGTTGTGGAGAGCCATGACCAACAACACTCTACGAGTCAATTATTAAAACACAGGTCAATTATCCAGAACGAACCTTTTATAATTACATTAATTATTTACATAAGGAACACGTGGAAAAATAAGTTATCTCTTGAAGTCTTGATACACACAGATCTTGTTACAGACAATTTGCATCCATTTATGCTCGTCTTGTTTCCTGGTTCCAGCAATTTAATGCAAACCCTACTCCTCGAGAATGCCATCGACAGAACATGCGAGTAACAAGGAAGTTTTAAGTGGGAAAAAGGAAATTTAAGGAAATTCATATTAACAACCAGAAGAAAAAAAAAGAACAGATGAAATATCTGAGGCACATAATGAGGAAAGACAGTTTATAGAATTTAGAATTCGGGGGCAAATTGAATGCAAGAGATGCAGAAGGGTGTGGAATAGACAGTAACCTATTTAACGAGTGTGCGTGAATGAATATCGGATGAAAACCAAAGTGAATAAGAATGCAAATAAATTTAATCAAATATTATCAATGTTTAAAACTCAGGTTGTAATATTCATTGCTGGCCGAAATCTTAAGACCAACGAAAAAAAAAAAAAAAAAAAAAGCTTTTGTGTTAGACTCAACCACTTAATTGAATAGAGCTTCAAAAATGAAAATAAGAAAACGAAGAATAAAAATGAAAAAAAAAACTATTTTAGCATTTATTATAAAAAAATTGAATTCTGAGACATTAGGCTAAATACTAACTGATCAAAAGTTCAAGACCATATTTAAATGAAGCTTTAATTAGTAAACACGTAATGAAATTTAGTCATTTGTATTCAAGCTTTAGCATAGTCAACAATATCATCTACTGGTATCATCTGCGTTATATTATGTAAAATATGTCAAAGGCTAAAACGTTGACAGTTTGAACGTGGCAGAATTATCGAGCTGCAAAAGCAAGGTGCCTCTCAGCGTGCCATCGGTGGCGAGATTGGATGTAGTAAAACAGCTGTTGAAAATTCCTTAAAAAAAACCTGTGGGATACGGAACGAGAATTTTAAGTGGTCGGCCCATGAAAATTTTATCGGCATTGAGCAGGAAGATTCAACGGGTTGTCCGGCAAGGTACCAGCTGATCATCGCACCAGATTAAGGCCCTTACAAACACAAAATGCAGCTCAAGAACAATAATTCTGCATCTTCGAGAGAAAAGGTTTAAAACTGTAAATGTCCACACCTCTTTCCACACTCCCGGACAGCTAGGTTAAATTTAACTAAGAAGAAAGTTTTGTTTTCTGTTGAACAAAAATAACCTAGTCGGTCCAGATGCCTTCCAAACGTTACTGACACGATAAGGATATCCCACAGGAGAGATTTTCTACATGACATGGGAGGAGAATCAGTCATGATCTGGAGTGCTATCTCCTTCCAAGGAATAATAGAGCTTCAGGTTATATCGTTGCGTCAAACCGCAACTGATTGCATTGGAGAGAGCATCATTATTAACTGAAAGCTCTTGCTTGTCGGGGAGATGACTGGATCTTTCAGCAGGACAACGCTGCAGTTTGTAATGCCTGTAGGACAAAGAGCTTTTCATGGCGAATAACGTTATCCTTTTGGACCATCTTGCGTGTTCGGCCTACTTGAACCCCATTGAAAATGTTTGTGGGTGGATGATAAGGGAAGTCTATATAGAAATAGTAGTCAATTCCAAACAGTGCATAATCTTCTTGAAGCCATATTCACTAAAGCGAATTTTTGAAATTATTCACAATGGCGGCCGTGAAAATCATTTGTATTCACTGTCCATATCTATAAACGCTCTATCTGATATTGAGCAGTCTTCAGTCTGTCCTTCTAAATAGAGCAAATTGTAAACTATATATATATATATATATATATATATATATATATATATTGATAATAATATAATATATATATATATATATATATATATATATATATATATATATATATATATATATATATATATATATATAACAAAGCCATTGGTTTATACCAACGACTTCCCATAGTTAACACTCCTCGTTTTCACTCTCGCGTGCTCATGTGTGATGTCATGGGCCGTGGTGTGATTTTCGCTTCCAGCGGCTCGTATGCATAAGTTTGTCATTGCTTGGGAATCTTCCATGCAAACAAAGCAGACTATCATTGTTGCTATGTCCGTGTATTGTTTAATTTATTGTAATGTAATTGTTATCTTTGATGAAGGCTTATGTAAGCCGAAAGCTTAAATAGGATTAAAAAAACATGTATCAATTTGATGATTTTCTTTCGTCTTTCAGTGATAATGTAATTAAATATCAGACGATATGAGAGAAATTTGCTTAAATAAATAGGCAAAACTCGTCTATATTATTTAATGAAACATGCATTAATGAAAAACTGCTGCCTAAATACACACATATAATATATATATATATTTATATATATATATATATATATATATATATATATATTTATATATATATATATATATATATATATATATATATATATATATATATATATATATATATATATATATATATATATATATATGAACAATAAAAAATATTAAAAAATTAAAATCTTCAAACATACTGGATTGTATATTATTATTCTTTCGTTTTTATTATCCCAGTTAGATTCCTCGACTAGTTTCGGCCAACATGGCCATCATCAGGAGAAAAAAATTCTGCTTATAAGTAGCAGTGAACTACAGAAATGAATGGTTTGATGGAGAAAATGAACTTTTGTATGTAGTTTTCACTTGTTTTTTATTTTTTATTTTTTATCATGAATTTTGGTCAGTCCCTATGTTGGTCAAACAGTCTCTTTTAAGTTGTTATTTAAGATAAGAGCTGGATGGATTCATGCTGCTCTGAAATCCCATGGTCATTTAGACAGTTATTTGTTCCTGGAAAGGGGATGTGTCACGATTAAGTGAGTGTGTTATTTTGTTCTTAGGGAGTTAGTGAGTATGATCTGTATTAGGGAGTGAGTGACTATGATGTATGTAAGTGTGTATATTAGTATGGGTGTGTGTATAAGTGTGAGACTTCAACACTTCCGCAAGCATGTCTGTCTTGTGTGGGTGAGAAAAGTGGGTAGGGCCTGATTTGTTGAATTATATATTAATTCTATCTAGGTTGTTAAATTTTTGATTAAGCCCATCTGGATAGAACGTTTTTAGGCGTAGAATCCACTTATCTTCATGGCCTTCTAAAAATTTTCTATGTCATTTGCTCTGAACTTTTCTATTTTCTCAATCATAGTAAATTTTGCATGGGTTTTAAAATCGTATTTTTGTAGGCGGAAATGTGGTTCTACAGGTAATAATCTTTCATGGGCGGGGGGCGACTTAATTTGATTGCGATAATTATTAATTCTGTAGTGAAAGGTCCATTCTGATTTTCCTACATATTGTTTCTGGCATGGTGTGCATTCTAGGAGGTAAATTATGTTATGACTTCTACAGTTAGAGTCGAGGTAGATTTTGAAAGTAGATTTAGTGACTGAGTTAGTGAACGAATTGGTGCGTCTAATGTGGTTGTTTGTTGTTACATGGTTGGGAAAATCCTGTTGTTTTTTGTTTTTGGTTTATTACGGATTACCTTATCCCCTAAAATATGGTTACTACCTATAATTCCCTTTAGGTTCTCAGGCCTACGATATGCTAGAAGGCCGGGTTCCTCAAACAAATTTTTAGGTCTGGTTTGAGATGTAGTATTTCCCAGCGACTTTTGATTATTTGGGACAGTGGGGGCTGAGTGGGGTTGAAAGTGGTTACTAGAGGGATGCGGCTGTGGTTTATTTTTAATCTTGTGCATTAGGGCGACTTCTCTAGGTGTGAAAATGGCTTTATTTATCTGTTCCCTGATTAGGTGTTGTTTATAGCCACGTGTTCATCTTTGGTGCAACAAGGAATTTTGTTGGTCTCTCGCTCAACTGTGCCCCACACATGAAATAATCAAGTGGGTTACAGTCTGGGGAGTTAAGTGGCAAGATATAATGGGTAATTTGGCTGCAGAAATTGCCCGAGAGCCATGACTGGTTTCTCCTGCTTGTGTGACATGGTGCAGAGTCCTGTTGCTAGACATAGAGTCATCCAGCAGCCACTCTCTTGACCCAGGGCAGCACTACCTCCTCAAGGCACATGATGTAAGCCTCAATGTTTGAGTTTATCAGAACGATCAAAGTGAGTTTTCCGAGCTGATGTACCTCCGTAATCACCATTAGACTAATTCAACTCATTCCAAATCCTCTGCACTCTCCTCAGATTGTCAGCCAAACACACTGACATTTTCTTATTGGAGATTCCGGCGCGAAAACCAAGCAGTACATCATGCCGTTTCCAAATTTCTGGCGGAGTGAATTACGTCATAATTTCTTTTTCTCACAGACAGTGCACAACTGACCCTACTATGGCCCTACAACTGACCCTACTACAACAAAAAAACAACGCGCATATGTGAATTAAAAATATGAAATGGCGACAGTTTGCTCATCGCACCATATATATATATATATATATATATATATATATATATATATATATATATATGTCTCATGTTGAACCCATGAATTCGGAGGACATTGACGATGAAGGTCAAGCAGAAAAAAACATTGTTCAAAATATTTTTTAAGCTGCACCCATGTTAATGTATCTATGAGTGTACACACACACACACACACACACACACACACATATATATATATATGTGAGGAAATGTGTGATAATAATATAGTTTTATGTTTATGCTATATTCATGGCTAAATGTGCTCAATACCATGGATAGAGGTTGTGTAAAGTGGACATTGTGGTAAACACCAAGTGGTAACAGTCTGTTTCATTCTTGAACGCAATCTTCAGGACATCATAGGATTGCGATCAAGCATGAAAGAGACTATCGCTAGTCGGTGTTGACGTCAGTGTCCATATATATATATATATATATATATATATATATTGTAAATTTATAGCCGAAAATGTAACTGTACATTAAGTATGTGGCTAAATTATTAAAAGAAATTTGATGAAATCAGGTAGGTATTTAGCCTACATTTAGGCAAAACAGCGCTTCTTGCTCGATCATTGAATTTAAGCGATGTCTACCCAGTCAGTACTTAGATGGGGAACCACTTGGAAACACTGGGTGTTGTAAGCGAGCATCTACAGTCCGAAATTTGTTTCTTCTTTAAATGACCCAAGTAGGCTTGACGAGCCGTAACAATCTTAAAAACCAACCAGCATATGTGGATGTAAGAATTTGTGCGCATAAACTCCTTGATTGATATGGGGAGATACATAGATAGATAGATAGATAGATAGATAGATAGATAGATAGATAGATAGATCAGTCCTGTGTATAAAGATAAACTACATCCGACACGCAACAAAGCTTCTGATCCGGAGATTGGAGGGTTTGAGCAACCTGGAAACACCTCTTAATTGCTATTATTCTGAAGTCTAGCCTGACCCAGGGTCATAGTACCTGTTATGGTCATAGATATGGGCAAATAGTGAACCCCCTAAACAAAAGCAAAATACTATGAAAGTGTAAAAATACATTTTTATGAAGATGCCAGCAATACACTATTATATATAGCACAATTACCAGCAACACAAATTTATAGTAAAATCACCAGCGATACATTTTAAAGCAAACTGACTAGAAAAATATTTTATAGAAGAATTACCAACAATACATTTTATAGCAAAATGACGAATACATTTTATCTGTAGTTGAAGCCACAAAATTATGTTCAAAATATTTAAATTTCGGAATTAAATAATCTATACAGGTTACGCAAAAATAAATAAAAAGATAGATACTGTATTTAATTTTCGTTTCTATATTTCGTTTTTGATGACGCTTAACTAAAAGCGATACATTTTAAATTTATAAACGTTAGCTATTTATTCATTATCTTGTCATTCTGTTGGATTCTAATCCACATTTGATCCAAATCCATATATATATATATATATATATATATATATATATAACGTCAGAAACTAATAGGCACCCGTTCAATGTTGATTCTTATTTTCACCCTGAACATGCATACAGTCACTCTATGCACAGATATTTAGCATTTTTCCCTCATAAATATATCACATTTTATACAATGTAATTATTACACAAACACACATACATACACATGCATATATATATATATATATATATATATATATATATATATATATATATGTGTGTGTGTGTGTGTGTAGATAGATAGATAGATAGATAGATAAGAACTGACCGAATTTTAACTGTGAATATTTGTGTCGATCGAAGCACATGTTGCTGTTGGTCTGTTGTGATAGTGAAATGATTTTTTTCTTTCTCTCACTACTTTAGAAAATTCGGGGAAATAGTTGGTCCCTGGGGATTTTGGCTCATAATGTTTTACTTTCATAAAAATCAGTACCAATGCATTAGATGCAGAAAAATTCTTCTATTCTGTCATCAAAATCCTTCATGACTTCTTGGACAATGAGAAGCCTTTTTTGACTCATTTTTAAATTTCATCGTAAAATCCTAAGCAGTGTATTTACATTATACATTTAAGATTTAATTCCTAATCACCGTCAATTCATGTTTTCTCGTTTTTATTGAAACATTGTGATTGTCGAAATGAGTAATTTTAGATAGAAAGTCGCAAATTTTGCAATTTAATTCTTAAATATTTCCCCCTTCTTTTACAAATACCTCATTTCTTAAAGCAGACATGACTAAGACGTCAGTCTTATGATTGGTGAAGAAAGAAATGGTATTATTATCATTGAAGAGTAATAAAAAGAATTGGGCCCCCATTTACGGATTTCATGTGCATTGGCGCTAAAATACAACTGGATTATGGTTTTATTTTATTCACAACAATTTATTCTGGCATTCGATATGTGATCGTTAAAGTGAATGACAAATTTATTTCAAAATCTACGGATTACACGAAAAATTAGTAAATATTTTTTTGAACTTTCGACGTGCTTTAATAGTAAACATATCTCGCCACATCAATTACGACTGAGTAATGAGTTCGCTCATTACTGAGTGACCCAACTTCTGGCCTTGTGGCACGTCTTAACTATGTTTAGTAAATCACTATATATATATATATATATATATATATATATATATATATATATATATATAAAAAAAAAAAAAAATTCAAAACAAACAGTTAAATTAAGATCAATTATTTAGAAGATATAATACGTAAATTAATTTCTCAAATTAGATAATAAAAATAATAATTAGATGATAAAAATTCAACAGTAATATCAACATTTACCCACTTTCATTAATTAAACATTAAATTCAATCACTTAGCGTCCTCCATAATTTACCTTGACTTTCAGCCTCAAGTATATTGATGAGCGTTCTTAAATTTAAATATTAATATTTTTATTTGTGTTTATAAATACTTATTGCAAAATAAAATTCTTACATTTGCTACCATAAGGGGGACGAAACGCATCGGCTAAGATAAGTTTTCCTTTTGTTTTTATTCATATATATATATATATATATATATATATATATATATATATAGTAGTTTTCATTTATCCGCCTAAGTACGCTGCAAGACCACTAGCGGATGCCCAACCCTGCAGGTAGTACCCACTACAATATGTACTGTGTCTTCCTATACATACATTACATAATCATGGGAAATTTACAATTAGACATGATAGAGATTTAATAATCAAATATTTTACCTTATATTAATTACAGATTAACAGCGAGGCTCATCCTTCTTCGAACCACGTGGACTGGCGCTACAGAATCACAAACAAAGAATTGTACCAGATAACAGAAACCACATCACTTGAGGACTTTCAACAGCAGCATCAATTAAAATGGATTGCACATCATATAACTTGAAGAGAAAACAATGACATAATTAAGACTTTGACTATTCACACTACTTGAAACTGAAAATTAGGAAGGGAGCCTTCATAGAACTTGAAAGAGCGATAACATTTAGTAGATTCGAGAAAAGTATTTTCCTGGAAATTTATTTCAACAGAAAGATTTTCTAAACTTCAATCGACAATATCACTGACTGCTCGATCATGGAATGCGGAATGTTTCCTCATAAGGAATCAGCTAATATTACCATTACCAACAATAATTAATTATCAAATACAAAAATAACTAATAACAAACAATAACAATAAAAGTTATATGACATAGAAGATTTGCCTCTTGTAGATTTTAGCAAATCTAAGTATATGAGTTATTCTTTTATTATTGAGAACTTCCCCTTTACACTTAAATGTCATACTTTACGTTTTCTCTTTGGCATATTCAAAATTCCAATATTGTGTTTTGGTGTCATTATTAAGTAAAAATTCTCGGGTTGACCGCGGGTAGCTGAAATCTTGGATAATCTGTGAATGAAAATTTCCATGCGTGTTTTTACAAACCCTGATATATTACAAGCTACAGAGACAAATAGCTAGAATATTTCCATTTAAAAAAATACAGAAATGAAATTGTCAGAGATGTTTGATAAAAAACTCACCTGAAGGAAGCACGTGACCAACAGAATGACATGCAGTGGACAGGCATCAGTCAGGGTTACGAAGTTCCGTGTCGCCCTCAACACCATCATTGTAATAACTTTGATAAATCAATTGATTGACACTTTTTTTGTTGTCAGTTTCTTTCGATTGTGTTATTTTTTTTTAAATTCCTGGTAAACATTTGAAAAATCGACAAACCTCGTTGAACTTTTTAAACGTTTCATGAAAATGTTACGGCTTATTTTTTGTTTTCTTTCTTATAATAATTCACAGTTGTTTACAACCATTAACGTATCTATCTATCTATCTATCTATCTATCTATCTATCTATCTATCTATCTATCTATCTATATATATATATATATGAATGTATATACAAATGTATATTATTTATGTAAACGATGTCTTTATCGAAAGTGGGATGGATATACACTAAACTTATTTTAGTTTGACATAAGATCACAACTGTAGAGAATTTAGTGAGGATCTAAGTCACAGCAGTATAAAGATCTGCTTGTTCACTTTGTTAAGCGCTGTCTTACGTCGAGCCTGATTTTTAAATAAGCGCGTACATTTATAGATTAGAGCTTGAATTTTTATGCTTTAACGAATTTTACGTGATTTTTGTTCCACCTCAAAAGAGTATATTTTTTAAACACCGGTGAACCAAGAACTTGTTCAACCAAACTTATGTTATTTCTTTTTCCAAAATCTGAATTTGTCTCTTTCATCGGCTCCTTTAGTTTCATCAGAGTTTGCAGTCAGGGGCCACACTGAAGTTGTTATGCTTTCGCTTGGACTTCTCTCTTTTGGTCAACTCCCGCGCGAGGGGTGAGATTGGTTAAGGCAGTGAACATAGTTGCAATTAGCGTCATTTGAGGTTTGGAGAGCATAGTGCATTTGCTGAAACATGAGTTAGACCGAGGGGAGATGAGATCTGTAGTGCCCACGGGGAGAAAGCAGGTAGGAAAGCAAACAGAGTAGTAGGTTGCTAAAGTAGATAGGTTCGGTTGTGGTTGCACGTCGGGTAGACGTGTGTGTACCCACTTAATCCAATATATATGGAGTGTTTACAGGTAAAAAGATAGTATGAGAGAAGTGTGGAAGGAGAAGTGAGGCGAGGGTATCTTGACGTGGACATAAGACAATATATATATATATATATATATATATATATATATATATAGAGAGAGAGAGAGAGACAGAGACAGAGACAGAGACAGAGACAGAGAGAAAGTGTGAGAGAATGTGAAAAAATAAACAAAGATGGAAGTAAAATAAGATGTGTGCGTGAGAGAGGTTTTTAAAAAATAATCAGACAGGCCGGAAAAATAAGAAATGTGTATGTGATATATATATATATATATATATATATATATATATATATATATAGAGAGAGAGAGAGAGAGAGAGAAAGAAGGATAGATAGATAGTGTGTGTGTGTGTGTGTGTGAGAGAGAGAGAGAGAGAGAGAATAAAATAAACTGACAATGAGAATAAGCAAGAGATGGGTGTCAGACACAGAGAGTAGAAAAATATACAGAGAGGGAAAAGAAGAGGCGTCAGATAGATAGATAGATAGATAGATAGATAGATAGATAGATAGATAGATAGAATGAAAAATAGACGGGGATGGAAAAAGTGTTGTGATATATATTTATATATATATATATATATATATATATATATATAGAGAGAGAGAGAGAGAGAGAGAGAGAGAAAGAGAGGGAGAGAGACAGCGACAGAGACAGAGAGAGAGAAAGGAGAGACAGAAACTGTGAAAAATTGCGTTTGTTTACAGTGGCAATTAAGATATTTATATGTGGAAAGAGCTGAGACTGAAAAGGAGAAGGAGGTACCAACGGTGGTTGTAGTCAAAGGTGAAATTCAGCGTGGTTAATTTATAGAAGAAAGAGGCAAAATGCAAGCGAACCTGGGAGACAGTGGTGGGTTGCGGGAGGAGTTGGTGGTAGAAACTAAAGAATTTCAGGAGTTACTTAACTTGATCTCACTACAGCAAGGTGCTCGCGACGGTCGGAAATATGATTGGACGAGATTTCATACATACGGAATTGTAGTCGTAAAACGTGTGAAGAAGGAGCGAACAAATTTAGGATGAATAATCCGGTGAAGAAGATCTAAAAAATGGGAGAGTTCGACAGAACAAAGGTAATGACCCACGAGGTGATAACATTCGAAAAAATGAGGCACTCACTCGGTTTTCATCGGGTTCGACTGACGCATCGTAAAGGTAATCCAGTTGGTTTTGCTGTGCGCCATGCCTAGTGCGATCCCTCATTAAGGCAGTTCTCAAACTATTCATTTCAACAAGCAGTTAACTTGTTTATGTCTGCAGAAAAATAGACGCGCGATATTCACGCTCACTGAGAGTAGGCTGCTACATCGACATTTCTTCTCATAGCGCACGGCTATTCTTTCGCCTTTTAGTGCGCTGGTGCTATGTGAATGCTTTATTCCGAAGGAATATGTTAAAAATCTGGTCAGTTCATTCTGCAAAACACTCACGATTTCCCGCACCACACGGACGCGTAAGCACGGAGGTAGACTGACTCGCGCACGCGCAGTCGTACTTACAAAAGGCCGCCTTCGTTGATGCACATGTGTATAATACTCCGACAAGTTAATCACGCATTAGATAATCTCTCTCTCTCTCTCTCTCTCTCTCTCTCTCTCTATCTATCTATCTATCTATCTATCTTTTAGTAAATATACACCTACATTTTTCACATTACAATTAAATATGGTATATTTTATTTTCCTTTTTATTTTTTAATTTAATTTTCTATCAAATATATGAATTCTCTTGTATACAATGAAGTACTTATAAACACCTTTCCTTTTATCTATCGAGTTGACAATTGATAGAAGTCGCCCTTATATTGGTTTTGTAAACGAATTTTGCGTTGTTTGATTCTTTGAGGAATACGGAAGAAGCTGTTGCGCCGACGCTTTAAAATAGGGAAGGGTTTGTCTGTCTTGGAATTTTTGCTTTTTTTTTTTTTACCTGGATTTGAACACTCAGCAGCACAAGCAAAACCATTCCATTTCTTTCTTTCTTTCTTTCTTTCTTTCTTTCTTTCTTTCTTTCTTTCTTTCTTTCTTTATTTATTTCTTTATTTATTTATTCATTCATTCATTTATTCAATCATTTACCAGTGGATTTTTTCATTTTATTTCGTTCTTTTTTTCGCTGTCGATTTTATTTTGTTTGTTTATTTGTTTCTTTGTTTCTTTCTTTACGGCGGCCCTCAAACTTCTTTCTTCCATAAATTTTCTTTCCTGATATTCTTTCTTTCTTTCTTTCTTTCTTTCTTTCTTTCTTTCTTTCTTTCTTTCACCCGTTCAATTTCTCTATTTTTTTTTAGATGCGCTTTCTGGATGTATCTTCTCTCTTGTTTTTTTGTTTGTTTGTTTGTTTGTTTGTTTGTTTCTTTCTTTCTTTCTTTCTTTCTTTTGTGTGTCCATTCCTTATTCTTTCTTTTCTCATTTTCCATTTGGCCTTCTATTATTCAAGGTTTGGTTTAAAAAAAAAAAAAAATGAAAATCTTTCTATAGTGCTTAAAATTCTATTTATGTTTATTTGCCAGCGGTGAGATGCTATCTTCGTCTCCGGTCGTCCGTAGAAACGGCGAATCATCTCGTGTCTCCCTTCTCTCACGTTCGCACATATAGACACCTGCGCGTGTACGCAGACACACGCGCTCATATGAACAGACACGCAGACACACACGCTCACTTTCTCTCTCTCACTCACGGACACACACGCACGTGCAAACATGCACAGACACATGATATATAAAATGAAAATTTGTAGATACTTATTATTTACATAACTGCAACTTGTCGCCGTTCATGCATTCATAAACACCTCGAAAAAAAACAAAAAAAACATAAAAGCAAAAACAAAAAAACAAAAACAAAAACAAAAACAAAGCCAACCAAGTCCCACGTGGCATTGATTCTTTCTTTCGATCAGTTCATCTTTCTCATTTCTCATCTCTTCACTTTTTTTTTTTGGCTTTTATTTTACTCGCTCTCCGATGTTTTTTCTTTCTTTCTCTTTCGTTAGATTTTGTTCCTTTTTCCAGTTTTCTTCATGACGATTGCTTTTTGCTGAGATTAACTTACATTGCCACAAGCACAAATGGGGTACTAGGAAGAAGATGTTGCGCCAACCATTCAAACAGGGGAGGTTTTTTTGTTTTGTAATTTTAGCTTTGCTTTTTTTCACCTGGTTTTGAGTACTCAAAGCAAGCAAACCAATTCCATTTCTTTTTCTTTCTTTCTTTCTTTCTTTCTTTCTTTCTTTCTTTCTTTCTTTCTTTCTTTCGCATTTAATCCCTTCATTTTCTTACGTTCGTTTTTCGCAGTTGATTTTATTTACTTTCTTCCTTTCTTTCTTTGAAGAGGTTCATACAATGCAATTTAATCATCGCTTTTTAATGTATATTTCATTGCAAATCTATTTTAAAACAAAAAAATAGAAAGAAAAGGCTAACATTCTATTTTTAATTAATTCTTGTCTATATTAAAAATCATCGAAATTTTCTGCGTCCGTCTACACACACGCACATACACACACACATACACACACACACATATAATTATTTATTCGAAGATTATAACATAAATATATTATAAAATCACTAAAAAATAGCCATTTTGTTTGTTTGAGAAATTGTATAAAAAAATAAATAAAAGCACCTTGTGTGTCGTTTTCAATGAAATGTGCATATCTATCTATCTATCTATCTATCTATCTATCTATCTATATATATATATATATATATATATATATATATATATATATATATAACTCTCAGTCTGTCTATCTATCTATCGATGTAAATATGGGCCTATTTACATGTGTCATTTCTTATTTGTCACTGTTTATTTCAATTTGTCCATTTGTCAATCTTTTTCAATGTGTTTATTATCGATTATAGGCTCGTTTTTCTTTATTTCTATCTATCTATCTATCTATCTATATATTTTAGTCAATTCCTATCTATCTATCTATCTATCTATCTATCTATCTATCTATCTATCTATCTATCTATCTTAGTCAATTCCTATCTATGTATCTATCTATCTTAGTTTTAGTAAGTAAGACGAAAAAGGTAAGAAAAGAAAAACAATAAATACGAACATTTTTTTAAATTTCTGGAATGAAGAGCTATCATTTACATTCAGTGAAATGTCCTCATCCTTGATGCTGCTATCTCAACGTTTCAGCCGTTGTGCTCTCCGGCCTTCTTCCGGTGTCTGTTGACCCTGGTAATTTGGAACTGAACAAGAAGAGATATCCTTAGACAGGAATAGCGGAACGAGAACAATCTAAATGAAGAGGTCAGTTGGAAATTGCCTGGATTAACGGACGCCTGATGAAGGCTAGCGGGCACAACGACCGAAACGTTGTGATAATAATAAAAAAAGATGGGAACATTATTACGCATGTAAATAATAAATTCAACCGCGATAATGCAAGAGAAAGTGCGGAATAAATGTCTGCTTGATCAAGACATCATTTAAAACAACTGATTTAGACAGATTTTGAGAAATGGGTCTAGTTGGGGACTTTTCATACCACCATTAATAGAAACATATAAAAATATGTGTGCGTGCACACACACACATATATATAGTTTCACCCCAAGCAAGACAATACAGCCACTAAGACGAAGGGTGTTACTGAGTGTGAGAGAATATGAAAAAAGAAACCATTATTAAGGACAATAAAAAGTGTAGTAACTACAAAGGAGATAACGATTGACATTACATTTGCATTTTTAAAACCCAAAGTTGACTGGAAAAACAAGAAGCCATAAGAGAAAGAGCAAGTTGTATATATAGAACTTATAACAATTTGCCATTCCAAGTCTAAAATGATGAGAGTTTGTCGCCAATATTTGCTACTACACTTAAATTCATAACGTAGAGATACCAAAGAGGAAAACTCATCAGAACAATGAGCATTAAAACATTTATAGAAAAGGGACAGAGAGGCTACGTTACGGCGATGTCAGACGCCAAGATGCCATGTCAGAAACATTGACATTGCAGATTCTTCTTTGAATTTAACAAGAATCTCTAAATATGTAGCAAAAGCATCATACAAGATGTGGCATGGACTAATGGTAAACATATATATATATATATATGCGTGTGTGTGTGGCCGGATATGCATGTTTATAATTGATGACAACACTACACACACACACACACACACACACACACACACACACACACACACACACACACATATATATATATATATATATATATATATATATATATATATATATATATATATATATATATATTTCCCTGACGATCCGTTTAGGTGAAAACTTTCCCTGACGATCCGTTTAGGTGAAACCTAGGTAGGTTTGTCTGGCTCACCAGGTTTATCTAGGTCTGCTCTACGGTTGTATTGAGCTCTTTTGTTTAGTTACTTGTTTACTCGTATCGGGGTTTTTCTTTGTGCTTTTGTGCATTGATACACAAATATATATGCTTCCTTTATATATATATATATATATATATATATATATATATATATATATATATATATATGAAGCACTACTCTAAAGGTGCACGTATTTGAGTATAAAACAAAATTGCTTGCATAGCAATTTACTTATTTTCCTTCGAAGTCATCCAGCTAAGTACAAATGCACCGGTTTTAAACGGATACTTCTAACAAAGTTAAAAAAAAATCGTACCACCTTTTGGTTCGCGAGTGCTGTTCAAATTCCCTGAAATTCTGAGCAGCAACTCGTGCCCCCAAATTCCCACATCTATCTATCTATCTATCTATCTATCTATCTATATTCGTGTTGGTACCAAAATCAATCAAGTACAAAAATTTATATACTTCGGAAAGCGGGCGGTAAATCGACACTGAAATGCGAAGGTGCATTTGGAATAGCGAAAGAGTCTTCCAAAATCTAAGCAAAGTATTAAGAAATAGGAAAATTTTTCTAGAAACAGAGAAATATAATATCAAACCTCCAATATGGCATAGTGAATGCTTGATAGTCTATTCGCATAAGAAAGAGTCTGTTAAAATGTCTAGAGCACACGATGAGGAAGGAGAACATAGAAATTTTGCCACTCATATGGCATATTGAAAGCAAGAGTGAAGCAGTGCATAGGCAACTGAATGTGCTTGTGTAGGTTGTTGGCAGAACAGGTATTAGGACAGATAGCTAAAAGACACAATTTGCTAAGACTTACGAAGAATATGAAATTGTGAAGAGCCATGATCTCTACATC